GTATCCGCTTCCTCTCCCGATCTTTAGTACGCTGTTCCCGGGTCATGATGCGCGAGCGTCTTTCCGCCTCCAGCTTCTTCACTCTTTCTTCCTCTTTGCGGGCTGCGGCTAGTTCCGTCTCTCGTTTACGTGCTGCTTCAGCAGCCTCACGCTCCTGTCGCTCTTTCTCAGCCTTTCCGGCGATCCGACTGGATCGTTTAGCGCCAGCGAGCAACTGCATGTTGAAAAGCTCCTTCTCGCGCTTCTGTTTCTGCCTCTCCTGCGCCTCCTCTTCCTTCTCAATGATGGGCATAACCTGTTCATCGATCCTATCCCTCAGTATTTTCTCATTGGGGTCCCTTGTCTTCCTAATGGACTCGAGGAACTGCTTGTAATCGTCTAGAGTAACGGCAATGCATTCCCACGTCATCGCTTGCAGAGGATCCTCTGAGGCGTCGCCGTTCACAGCATTATCTTCCTCATCGGACTCTTCAATAGGATCGGCGCCTGTAACACGTCTACGTTTAGAGGCTCTCATGGCGCGGGCGCTCTTTCTCCTCGATTTCGACTTGGCCGGTTTTGGCGGCGGAATAGGGGGGTCGGTGCGGCGATAGAGCCTGTTATCATCGAGAATATAGTAGTAACGGCCTTCACGATCGTAGCCTACTTCTTCGATACGCTAGCAAAGGTCAGTAAATATGAAAGGAATCCAGGGGTAGTGTCACGGAAAAACCCACCCACTCCGTCTGATCCAATTCCCTCTGCTCCGGCATCTTTTCGCGGATGCGGTCGGGATTCCAAAAGGTCCAAATCGACAGCTGGTGCAAGACGCGCAACTTCAAGAACACATCGAAGTCCAAGAACCTATTCGGAACCTCCTCATACCCGAAAGGGTTAGGAATGTGTGGTGCTTTCGCATTGTACTGACGTCGCGTATACTCATCGAAGTTATCGAATCTATGAGCAAAAGCATCCTATTAGTATAGCTACAGTTATGGCGAAACCAAAGGTGCACGTACGTGAGGCCCCGATGCGACGACACCCATTTCAGAAGACAGAGTCCAATCTCTAGTAGTTTCTCGGAAGGGGTAGGCTTTAGACACTCAGTTTCCAGGTCCTGCAAGCAAAGCATCAGAGTAGAATATTAGCATTGATCTAACGCGCACAAATGTAAAGAAAAAACTATAGGTGTCGGATTTGCACTACTCACCTCAATTCCGAAATCCTCGTCAATCTTCATGACTTTACCGAATATGGCAATGTATTGCATGAGGCTTGCAAACTCCCAGCAGTTCCGAAGCTGCTGGAGTAAACCCGGCTCCTCAGGTGGCTGCTCTGGGGCAGCGTCCACCTCGGAGCGGGTGCGCTTTCGCGATACCATGAAGGCGGATATAGACCATTAAAGGCGCCGCGGCGCAGGACAAGATTCGACCCCTGCGGCGGATCTGCGGCGGGGGCGGGAGTTCTGAGAAGGGGTAATAATCGCAACGTATATGTAACAGAAGAATGAACACAGATGTCTCTTCCAAATGGCGGAATGAGTGGGTATTGACGTGATCGACAGCGGCGTGAAGACAGGAAATCGTTCGCCAGGGCGGGCGTGTCGGGCTGGGCAGAAGAGATGAGCTCACAGAATCGCCGGGCGGCGCGTCGAGACCCCAGTCAGGTGACTTCCATCCGCCGATTGGGTCGATCCCGTGCCGATAAGCCTTGCGCTGTCGATGCGATCCGACTGCTCACATTTTACCATGACCTCGTGGATACTACTATTCTATTTCTTGAATGAAGAAACAAGCTCATATTAATAGATACTAGAAGAGAAGGTTTTATCGTAATAATAGTTCGCCTCCGCATGAAACCAGGTCAGGAGAAAATGAAACTTAAGCAACAGGCAGAATCAGCACCACCCAACGAAACATAAAACTAGATCTTGGTATCTCGCTCAAAGAGGGTCTATCTCACTCAGATGGAGGATGGGGAATGGGGAACATAGAGGATAAGCAAAATGCACACAGACAAATAGCGCCAGCCGTATCCACGCCACCGCACAGCCATACCATTATGGCCGAAGGGGAACGAAGTGTTGGACAAACAGAAAACAAAAAGGAAAGGGTAAATAGAAAGCAGAGAAAAAGCCGCAGCAAAAGCCAGGGAAGGGAAGAAAGAATAGATGATTAGCAAAACAACAGAACCTTTCGAACCATAACAAGACAGAAACCCCCAAGTCCAGTGCTCCCATACCCGCCATGTCTTCTCTTTTCTCTCTGTTGATTTTGTGCAACTTTCCTGAGATCGCGTCATTGCATTGCCATACCACACAGTTTGCGCCTTGTATTCCGTGTTTCGCCTAAGCCCGCCCCATGCATGTCGTAAGGTTGTCAAATATATCAAGTAAACCAAAAGGAAAACAAATGCTTTTGAACTTTTTACATCGCAACACCAGGTGCGCCATCGGAGACATTATCCGAGAGGTTGATGAGAAGCTGAGCCAGGCAGCGCTTAGTGGCGGCATCGTCGCGGAGTACGGAGGAGAACGTCGCATCGCGCAAGGGTTCGGGAAGGCATTGACGCAGCGCCTCTCGCGCCCTGCTGTTATCACTCAGGCTACAAAAGTCAGCATTTGACGTAGAAACGAATCAACCAACGCAATTTGAAGAAACCTGGGATAGACTCACCGAAGGAAGCAGCGCACTACATGCTTGAGAAGTCGTACTGTCTGTTGCTCAACAAGTTGAGTGACCATATTACTCAGGACAGTTCCAACCGCGTAAAACCTCTCATAGGTTGCGCAAATGTACGCGAGACCGATATCGTCGAGGAGAATCTTCTGCACAATAAAGATTGCGACAGTTTTGCTCAGTTCTGAGCCGGTCTCCATAATCCGTAAGCAAAGGGGAATGATCTCTGTGGTAAGAAGGAAGTTGATGACATCGGACGAGTCATTCTTAACCAACGCTCCGATTACGCCGAGCGAGGTGAGGCGGAGATACTCGAAGGGCCGCGACTTTGACGTTGTGTTGAGGAAAGGATAAAGGAACAGAGGAATGTGAGCTGTTCCGAACGAGAATTTGTTAGTCAAATCACATACGACTTAGAACCGAAGGGCGGGGTGGATGGTCCTGGGTGACGGCTGCGTACCATTAAGAAACAAGGTGCGAGTCTCGTTGTGGGAAGCCACACACTGCAAGAGAGCCAGCGCATTGCAGACCCGGTTTGATGCAGCCGCAGTTAATTGCGAAGGGTTCAACAAAGGGTATACGGAGATGATTTCCTGAAGTAGAGCGGTCATGACACCTAGAAAACTGCCCGTTAGTCGCCACCAACAAAGCTGATCAAAGGGGGTGATTCCGTACCGAAAGAGTGCCAAATAACCAGCGCGAGTTCCGGCACTTGCTCTCTCTTCTTGCTAAGTTCCATAAGGGCGGCTTCTCTGCGACTCGGATCGAGAAGCTCTGCGACCCAGATGAAAACTTTCCGATTCTCATCACTGATGCCACCATCCATCACGGACACCGCACCGGGCAACGCACCGTCCCCACCAATGCCTCCTGCACCAGCCCCTTGAGCGGAATTACCGGCACCGGCGTTTCCAGCCATGGCTATACGAGTATAGTGTTGTTGTTGAGCGGCTGCGGCTGCGGCTGCGGCCGCCTGGACTTGGGCATGCTGTTGGGCGACCAACGAAGAATGCGGTTGCTGAGCCTGGTGCGGGTGGGTTTGGTGATGCTGCTGTTGCTGCAACCAGGTCGGATCAGCCTGCGGATACTGGTGCTGATGAGAAAAGACGTGCTGAGTCTGCGTTTGAAGCATGGCGGGCCAGCGAAGAATCGGAGCTCAACGGGACTCGTAATCCTCAGGAGGGAAGACTTGACAGCCCTGGATGATCGGGGAAAAGCCGGACGAGGGCAAAATGAACTAAGATGCTGAGTAGGTATTGTCAGGACCGTATACTCGAGAGTAGCCTCATGGATAAGGGTTTTCGAATACAAGAGTTGAGAGTTGTGGAAGAGGGGAGGGGGTGTTGTGAAGATGGCGTGGGAATGACAGCGGGATTGAAGGACAGGCGAGCGTGAAATGATGGATGGAATGGCTTGGGACTACGGGAGGCGGGGAGTCGCAGGTTCCGCCCGGGCAGTTTGTGCCGTCGACGAGGTGCCGAGCTTCATTCACTCTCTGGACCCTGTCGGACTTGAACCGCTTCGATCGGAACAACTTGATCGCGTGGATCGGTAACACGAATCTATTCAAATTTCTTATCCCTTCAATTCGCCCTTATTACCAGCTCGGTGAAGTCTAATCGTTCTATTATGACAATTTCCTCCGTATCTGTCTTGGGTTGGCATGCTGACCGTTGATGGCCGCCTTGCAGCTGCAGTTATTGGATAAACGCACGAGTCGCTCCGGCAGGTGCATGATTATCAAGAATCAGCTTTGTACGTATCTAGGGGTGCACTGACACTGGATCTCTGGGAGCTGCGATCTTTGCTCAGATCCTTCATATACCTGTAACTATCCCTGCGCCGCTTTAAAGGAGCGTGCCGGAGGGTGACTCGCAACTCTGGCTGTGTGAGCTCTCACTGTTGCTGGTCAGGGATGCTCTCTACTACTAACTTCCTGATAGATTATGTACGATGTCGGTACAGGCAACTGATGTCCTTCATATGTACAATGCTGTTCCTTGTCAACTTATTTGAGCATCTTATTTACAACACAGTTTCCTTCCGCGGCTTTCAATAAGTTCGTAGAAACGGAAGCAGGGACGGAGGACAAAGACAAAGTGACGAAGAAAAGGGATAAAGCAGAAACATTCAAGGGCATTAGAACATGAATACATGTCTCATCATCGTACATTGCAGATCTTTCGGACACGAAAGAAGAAACCATCACACATCAATCATAAACCCTGGATAACGCCTGTCCATGCAAAATCGATCAAATAAAGTCCGAAGACTCAAATCATAGCTAATAAATCGTTGTATCTCGGTAAGTCATTCGTTTTCGTTGTTGGCATCATAAAATCATCATCTTCGTGAGCGCGTGCGAGATCGTCTAGTTCTTCTGGTATCTCTCGTCCGCCGATCATCTGTCACAACGCTTCCTACAATGTTATTAGCATCATCCTATCATTGTAGGAGAACAAGAGGGTACTTACCATCATTGGTATAGTAGTCAGAGGAGTAGTAACTGTAGTAGGTGCTCGGATACGTGTAATCGGTCTTCTCGTCCACGTCGCGATGGTCTCTGCGCCTCTTCAACCCAAGGCACAGCGCGATCGCACCCAGGACGATTCCAATTGTCGCCAAAGCACCCATGCCAGACTCTTTCTTCTTACCGCCACCTGCTGTTGATGGTGCCGGTCGACTGCCGAACCAGGTGCGTTGCTCAGGTCTAGCCCCGGAAGAAGAATGGTGACGACGACGACGTTCTTCAACGTATGTGGTTTCTTTCCGCTTCCTACCGCCACCGAGACCAAGGCAAGCAAGCAAAGAATCAAGTGCTCCACGGCAGCACATACAGGCGCAAAGGAGTAACAGAAGGAACACGCCGGCAATTGTTCCGATAACAATGCCCGCGATGGCTCCGCCGCTGAGTCCTCCGCCGGAGCCCTTCACAACCAATGGCGTGCCGCTTGTGCTCACAGGGGCAGTGAAAGGCTCAGTAGTAGTGGCCGTTTGAGTTACAGTCGATAGCGTTGTTCCACGTACGGGGGGCGTGGCAGTCGCTGTTGCCCAGATTGACGTGCTTCCCAGGATACATTGATTGTTGGAGCAGACATATGCAGGGCCGCAACAGTCGCTGCCGCAGACCGTTTCACCATACTCGGCATTGCAACTGCCAGTGCTCGTTGTTGCCGAAATGTAGGAGCTCCAGGTTGAAGTAAAAGTCGCACGCTCTGTTTCGGTCACGACATACGTGGTGGTGTAATACTCCCAGCTTCCGGAACCGACGCACTCAGCTTCGCCATCACTGTTGGTGCTGCATGTTTCGCTTGAGCTGCAGCAAAGCTGGCTATAATAACCGCAAGGATTCGAACAGCGCTTCTCCAAGGTGGCCTCCTCGAGACTCACCTCGGGTTCCAATGGTGAAGCTATCGAGAGTTGAAACTGACTTAGTAGGGCCAGTATAGATAAGGTCGACGGGATTATGCGAGACGCATGCATGGCGAGGGGAGAATGTAGGAATTTCCACAACCACGAGGCCAGCCCACGATGCGACCAAAAGCAGCTTTGGATTGCGATCGCTGCCAGGGACAAATTTGGGGAAGTTCCGACGTATGACTCGATGTAGGGTCTTGTTATGACAAGGGAGGTATAGAACGAAAGACAGCGAACGAAAGGAAGCCAAGCAAATAGATGGAATGCGAGAGACCGTCACAGATAGCTTGCAGAGCAGAGATCGAAAGAATGCATATCAGTTGAATAGAAAATGTATGGAGGGTTAGAGAAGAGAAGTCGGAGCAGGGTGCCATCCCACGAGCAGCCCGTCCGCCCTTCTTTGATCCCAGCCTCCGTCCGGTCGACTTCCCAACCACCGCATTTCCTGTGACGACCACCACCAATCACTGCCAGGCCGAGTGAATCAGCGATGAAGATAAACTTAGCTCATAATTTAAAAAAGGAAATTTCGGAGGCTGGGATGTCCACTTTTTTCGACTCTGCATGTTGTTGCCCCGCTGTGATCCAATGGCAGAGAAGTGGCCGATGATGCCGTTGCTGCCCCTCTCATCACCAACTTCTCTCCCCTCAGTTCCTGACAGCGTCATTGTCAGCACCCAATCGTGTCTGTGGGCGAAAAGTCCGGAACTTGGACAGACCCGGCCTACTGCGTTGTCGGCTCCACCGCTAGATTATCTTTTTCTCTTCCACGGTGAGTCGGTCTAGCAAACGCTGTTTCTGATTCGATGGAGGTACGTCCGTCAGGTACTGACTGCATGGGCCTCCATCCGTCGGCACAAATCAGGCGAGGACCGTGTAGTGACTAGTTAGTGACTACACCTACGTGTCACCCAACGAAGGGGCCCCATGCTTAGGCAGTGATTTGGCGCGGGTGACTCAATATCCGTAAGTACTTAGTTGCTCTAGAAGTGCGCATTGTCCGTGACCCGACAATCACATACTAAATTCTTTGCTATCTGGTGAGCCCTAATAATGATGTGGTAGTGAGGCGCCATGGATGCAGCTGGATCTCCCTTGTCTATTGTGGGAGCAACAAGCTCACAGTACAAGTTCCCATAATACTAAAGAAATCATGATCTGATCATTCATTTTCTTAAATGTCATTGCTATCCTAGATGCTCTTGTTATATACAAAACGCCACAAAATCATGAAACTCATTATGCCGATAGCTGCCCAACTATTGCCCTTCATCAGTCACTTCATAGATACATCCCGTCGTCTCTTTCATCCACCCAAAGGATGAGCGTTCTCAACCGAAGTAGTTGTCTCGCGAGTGTCGCAATTGTCAATATTGACTTGGAGAAAAAATAATGTTCACGTCACTTGAGCGAGCGTATGTCCATATCTCGTACATGCATATCCACATGAAAAAGCGTAGTCGTAACTTCATAGAAACATTCCGGCAAGTCCAATGAACATGCCAAAGAAAAGGTCCTCAAGACTGGAACTCCGTCTGGGCATCGTTCCCCGGTTCTCGTAGACATCAGTGCTGTAACTGCCGCAGTAACCAATGCTGAGACCGTGGCATGCCTCCATACTCAGACTAGAGCATGTCGATATAGCTGCAGAAGCGCCTCCTCCAGCGCGAGTGACACCTCCTCCTTCAGCAGCCACAGTCACAGCATACCCTCCTCCGAGTTGCGAAAGACAGCCGGTATATTCGCTCTGACATAGAGAGTAGTATGATGTGCAAACGCGCGCGTTGGCGAATGATGTCGGGATATTGACAAATGGATATGCCCCGGCAATTGTAGAGCCCGTGAGAGTCACACTCGTCCCATCTGTAGTCTGTGTAGCCGTCGCTGTCTGGGGAAATCGGAAGCTGCTAGTTGTGCCTCCCCCAGAATTTCCAGTCTCTGAGAGCGTCCCCGTACAGCTCGCTCCCGTTGGGCAGCAAGCGACATTGTCAGCGGCGTCGCGAGTGCACCTGCTACCATCGGCACAGCATATATCCGAGTAGCCTAGGTTTGTGCAAGAATCATATCCAGAAGGACAGTTATCGCTCCGCTTCCTTAATAATTGCAGTACTTCAAAGGCCCTTCGTCCGGAGTCTGCATTGCGAGGTGAATAGAATGGTATAGTATCGATCGATGGAGCTGGTGTTGTCTCTAACGAAAGAACCGTCGAAGCGAGGAATGCGGCCGAGATCCACCCGAAGAGCTTCATTGTCGAGGCTTAGGGCTACAGCGCGCCCTCCGGATATGATGGGACAGGATATCGAAAATATACGTCGGAATGCGTCACCGGCGCAGCTGGAGACTGCGACCTGTTTAATCGTACGATCTGTCGAGGGCCAGTATTATGCGACGGCTTTGCAGCGGCGATCAACAGATTACTAAAAGCGGTAGAAGTAGATGTCAGTAGTGGTCGATCAGGGTAGCGCTTGCAAGTACACAGTAGCTCAACAAACATGATCCAGGGCGGATAAAAGCACACTTACGTGTTGCTAAAAACTCTTCTATCTGTAGTAATTTCTGCCGGGTTCGCCTCACTCGAGCAAGCCGGTTTGAACACCGGAAAGTGTGGGTGATGGATGCTGCATCTTTAGGTTGTTCAGGCCGCGCCGGGTCCACTGCGATCCCCTGCCACAGCAACGGAGCGTCGCCTATGGCCCCTCAGTAACCAGCCACCCGTGCAAAGATGGGACTTGTCCACCTATTTTTGGCCCGCATTGATTGAAATCTGCACCGGAGCCAGGAAATCACCCGGCACTCCGCCGGTCTCCATAGTCTTTATCACCGAGTGGATAAATACTGCTCCAGCTCCGATCTCAGGGTCTGCTACTCACCAGATGATGTCACTTTACATCTCGGACAACTAACTACACCACGTGAATAGTAAGCTTACCTCGAGTCGTTTTAGATCATCGGTATACACTCAGGAAACCATATCTACTGGTTATACGAATTTGTTTATTTCTCTTGAAAGTGGCATTTGCGTAATTTCTTTTTCTTCCACGATCGTAAAGCATATGATCGGCCAGGCGAATTGGAAACCAAGCGCCAGTTCAGCTAATAGTACACTAGCCGGCCTTCTCACAACAGGTCCTTGGAAGTGTTATTGTGAGGTCTTCTTCTCGGCGGCCTAACTGGCTAAACATCATCCCACGAGCTTTGAGATACTATCAGAATCCGAGTTATTCGATATGTCTTCTTCTGCGAACTCTACCCAGATGCAGATCCCCGTCGTGGACTTTTCGCAGTGGTACAACAGCCAAGATGCCTCCTCTCGTCAACAGGTCGCACATGCACTGGTTAAGGCTTGCCAGGATGTCGGGTTCGTATACATCGTGAACCACTCGCTTCCTGAATCGGTTCTGGATGAAGCTTTTAACTGGATGAGACGTTTTTTTGAGCTCTCAAGCGAAGACAAGATGCGGGCCCCACATCCGGAGGGCTGGGCTGTACATCGAGGCTACTCATGGCCCGGTCTAGAAAAGGTTTCTCAAGTCATGAGCACCGGAGATGACGAGGATGCGCGGAAGAAGCTGAGAGAGGTGCCAGATGTCAAGGTTTGTTTAGATTTTGTGTCGCCCCAGTGAGCTACTCTACAGAAAATGTTCTTTATGATCGTTGCCATCGAGTCTTGTATTGAGATTCGGAATGACGTTTAAGCACAGGAAATCTACGATATTGGCAGCGAAGAGAATACCTTTCAACCCAACCAGTGGATACCGAAAGAGACACTTCCTGGTTACCAGGACTTTATGGTCCAATTCTATTGGGAGTGTAATAAGGTTGGAAGCGAGATACTTCGTGCTTTGGCTACCGGCCTTGACTTGGAGGATGAAAGCTACCTGACGAAGAAGCATTCAGGCCACAACAACCAGCTTAGGTTGCTGCACTATCTGCCCGTGCCGGCAGAAGAGTTGGAGAAAGAGCGAACCGCCCGATGCCCGGCACATACAGATTGGAGTTCCATAACCATGCTCTTCCAGGATGACTGTGGTGGCCTGGAAGTAGAGGACATTTCTCGGCCCGGCACATTCGTCCCCGCTACTCCATTGAAACATGCCATCATCATGAACATTGGGGACTTATTGCAAATGTGGAGCAATGGTTTGTCCATTCCCCGCAACATTAGTAGAGGTATGAAATCGGTCATATTTCTGATCTATAATATAGATCGCCTTCGGTCAACCAACCACCGAGTCAGACTACCGCAACTCTCAGATCGATTTGAGGGGCCCAACCGGATGACACGGGAGCGCTACTCAATTCCGTACTTCATGTCTCCTGATCCAGACGTGACCATTGAATGTATTCCGTCATGCATGAGTGAGGCATACCCGGCCAAGTATAAGCCGACCACCCAGGCTGAGTACAACAAAATGCGAGCCTCAATGATGTATTGATTCTTCATAAATGCCACCATTTGCCAGAAATCCACATATGTTTGTTCTTTCATGAGGATTGTATACCAATAGTTATTTGACGAAGCCCTAAGCCCTAGACTGATATCCGAATCCGGTATCCTCTACCGCCCGGGCCTCGGAGCCAATGATAGCGGGCGGCCGATGTGTTCATCATCGAGCTTGATCAGGACGATAGGTAACGAACAAACAGCCTTCCCTGTTACTCTCATACCAGATCCACGAAACATCTTGATCGATCCCAGAAAAATCATTACTGGGACAATCTAAATACGCGCCTTCTTGACCCCGACGACGCGACTTCTCTTAACCCCAGATTACCCCTCAATACCAAAGCGGGACTCCCCTCTCCTTACCCAAAATGTCCATTCCCAACGAAGCTCTGCAGAAGGTACCTTGCCCTAGCAACTCTATCTCATACTCATAACTAATATGTTCCGGACAAACAGCTTCTGCAAGAAATCGAGGTCCAGGCCATTACCTCTCAACAACAAATCGGCGTCACGAAGGCACAGATCACAACTAAGCAGAGAGACATCCGCATGCTGGAGCTCACATCCAAGGAAATCGGCTCTTTGCCTAAAGATACAAGGGTATATGAGGGCGTTGGCAAGATGTGAGTCTACTGGTGGCTACTATATCACCCTTCTAAGGATGGCATGAAGACGGAAGAATCTCGCGGCCATACTAACGGATACAATTCTCATAGGTTTGTGGCTGTCCCCATGAACACGATCGACAAGCGCCTGTCAAGCGAGAGCGGAGATTTGAAGACGGATATTGCTGGCTTGGAGAAGAAGCTGCACTACTTGGAAATGACGCATAAGAACAGCCGTGAGAACCTGGAGCAGATCTTGAAGTCCGGTGGAAAGGCGTGAGGGGCTGTCTCATCAGTGGAAAGAACTGAAAGATGAGCACAAGAAATAAATATATCATACCGATAATAGGTGCCATTGTGCTGGGCATACGCCCGCCTCTGGTGGTGACAGAATGGGACGGCAATCGCAGAGCGCTGCACGGGAGATATACGCTAGGATGGGGATCCTAGGGGGCAGCCTCGTCTGCTGTGCTGCGCTCTGATTCTCCCTTACATCATGGTATTGTGGAGGCTGCCTTCGCTATCAGTGGTCATGCTACGCCCTGCTGATGCGCTGAGCGCTCGGCGTTTATTGGATTTGCTTAGCGGTGTTTAGAGGTATTTCAGTATGTATCACCAGCTAGCTATATTATAGCAAATCAAGGGTTTCTTGTTATACTTTCACAGAATGATACCTCGGTTTTTCAGAGGCAATCTAGATCATGGCCCCCCTAGACATCAATGACACCGTGTAACTATAGCTAACAGTCTTACCGGAACAATGAGACAGTGGCCTTTCTCGAGCCCCAGAACCGGACAGCTCTCGTCATACCACCGTTGGCCAACATGTTGCCAATATTGCAAACTATGATTGGTGTTCCATCTATGCTGTAGATTGTATGCCTACGGATGCCACGAAGAAGCCCCACTATAGAAGTACTACTAAGTAGCACAAAACCGTCGCCATCATTACCAGCAACGTTATACAAGGCAAATACTCATGGACCTCGAATGCAGACCCGTGGCACAGAGGTGCTATCCATGCTCAATTATTTGAGGATAACCTGTTCTGTCTCACACTTTGAGAGCAATTATCCGGGAAGGTGAGAAACTATCCTCCCGTGCCCAGGCTTTTGACCTTGACTCACTCATCCTCCAGGATTTTTGAAAAGTCAGCTCACACTACAATGGAGGCTTTGACCTCTACGCGACAGCGGATATGAACGAAAGAAAGGGTTCGGAGGATGATAGTTGCACAACTTCTCATCCCGATTTCCCCGAGTCTAAATTACGAAAGTTTGCGCTATATGCTGACTGGGACATCGCTTGATAATTTGCGCAGCATAGACGTCTGCTTGAGGCACCTTGCTTTGTGCAGTATCTCTGGTCGTCGTGGATGCATTACCCTTGTCCTTGTGCTTGTGGAAATGAAGCAGGGATTGCCTGTTGTAAGAATATCAAAGTCACCTACGCGCACTATCTTGTGACCCACTACACCCTCTAGAAATAGCAATGATGTAGCTTGGTAAAGTAATCTCCTAATCTTTGAAGGACGAACAGACCTGCTCTGACGAATGGAGACTATTGAGTGCTCTGCTCCGGAGGGAAAGGGATCAAAGTTCATTAAAGGAGCCATAATCATTCATAGAGTAAGCGCTAGCGTCATCGCGCCCAAAAGGATCTTGCAGGATCAATATCGAATTACGCATTGCGTTCCATACGATCAAGGCCCACTGAAGCTCGGAAGGAATGCGTCCACGTGGTACACATGGCAGATATGCAGCATCGACAACACCCAACACAATCATCACCATCCGACTTACAATGCCTCTAAGACTCAGATTACCTCAGATTTGCTACTTACATACTATAGGCTGGTAACTTTTGCCACTAGTCCACGAAAAGCATGCCTTTTCTAGAATTATCACTGCCGTTCCTTCATAAGAGACTTGAGGCGGTGCAGCCGAATACGAGATCCTGGCCCTCCTGCGTCTATACAAGCTTTTGATCACTGTCTTTTAATCACCCATTTCGAGATGTATCAGCCATGCTTCTCCGTGAGTACTAACTTGAATCTCGGATGCACCTTGGTGCCAACTCAGTTCACTCGGTCCGATCAACTTGAGGCAGTGAAACAAGCATCCAGCAAGGGACTATAAGAACAATCGAAATGGAGCCAAGGGATGGGTATTTCGCAGCACAATCATAACCACACTC